TGTTTCTATTTTATACATTTATATTTCCCATTGGCAGGAAGTGTGGCTAAAAAGTAAACATATCACTGAGTTGCTCCTAGGGAGTAAGGAGGTCAGTTTATAGAAATATGTCAAAATTAAAGAAGGGAGTTGACTAAAAAGTAGGTACTTCATCATTTTGACATCATATTTTCTGATAAGATAAGGAACCATTCAGGGAAAGACATGGAAATGTTATATTCTATAGGGATCCTGGGGATTTGTCTATCACCATAGCAACTACAGGGACTACAGTTTCATTTTTAGAGGGTCAGAAACTATAAAGATCACTTATTTCTAGACAAACTAAAATAGTAAAAAAGCTATAAGAGAATTTTGTCTGTGACTTTAAACTATGGAAAGTACTACAAGAATTTTCCTTGTTGCATGTACCATTTTGCTGTGTGCATTGCCTGGGGGAAATGTGTATGTGCAGGGCTTTGAACAGGATTTTCTAGGCTCCTGCCAGTCTTGACAACATTCTTTGAGAAAGCAACAAGGAACTATTATCTCGATATCCAGGGAGACATACCCTGCCCCAGTTTTTGCTTTTCACTTTTCTTATTCAAGATAAAAAGTTTTCTTGCCTTAGCCCCGTGCTGCCCAACATTGCTAAAACCATTCATACTTCGATTCTAAGCAATTCTACTCCTTTCCAGAGCATCAAGAGCACTCCTGGGACTCATATTAAAACCAGAAATCTTTACAAGCTCAATCTTCAGAGAATGTGTGTGTGTGTGTATCTGTGTTTGTGTGTGTGTGTGTGTGTGTGTGTGTGTGTGTGTGTGTGTATCTTACAAAACCACATTGAATCCGTAATTGGATAACTTTTCTATTGTGGATGGTAAGATTCTTCTTCCCTGTATTGATTTTTCCCTCCTCAGTTGCTTAGGACCATGAATTTTAAGTGTTTGGGTTCCCCAAGCACTGAGTGAGACAGATGTAACTAGTTGCCCAGTGGGAATTTAAAGAATCATCCAGTCAGTCAGATGGCTGCTGGGCACCAAATGGAAAACTTGTTATAGTTAGGAGTCTTTGTAAATGGGCTGCTAATCAAGCAGAAGTGGAGTCCCTGACGTACAGAACCTGTACCTCAATCAGATTGAGTGCCAGTGAAATCAGGCTTCCCAGGTCAGAGAATAGCAGAAGCAGCAAAATGATGTTTGTGCTTTGAAAAGACATGTTTCTACACCTAACATAATCAAGAGAATGGGATAGCCCTAGACCCACTGAATGTTTCAAGTTCATAATCACCAAAACATGGCAAAAATTCACCATATAAATGATGGAAAAGGAATACTAAAGGCAAACGTGAGTCTAATGAATTTTAGGGCATCAACAGCAGATACCAAATCCATTAAATCCTTTACAAATATTCTTAGTATTATCAGTTTTTATTTTCTCATTGGTAAATTTTTCTGCCATAAATAAATGTGGTAAACTATTATGTAATAGTAAAAATTCTCTATTTTGTAGTGAAAGAAGATGACAGCCAAAGACAATCTACTCCAACTACATTTTTATTTTCTACATCCAACATGTAGAAATTGCTCTTGATAAAGTCACCAATTTTATTTCCAAATGAACTTTACACTCTAGGGCTTAACTGCATGTAACTTATGGGCAGTTCCATCTTCCATTCAGATATTATGGCATTACTTGATTTTGAAACATTTTACTCTTCTGTTTCTTCTTCCGGCCCCCCTGACATTTAATTGTTGGGCAGATTCATCTCCTTCCTCTGCCCCTATTTGCCACAAAGATTCATCCATAGACAGCTGTCATGTATGTGAAACTGGCAGAAAACAGTTTTATCCTGAATTTGTCCAGATGAGTAAATTCACAAGACATTTCTGTACTATCATGATTCCCTCAGATGTTAGTACCTGATCTGTTTCATAAGTACTTTACCTTAAAAATAAATTTAAATACTAAACAAAATAGCTTCGATAGAATATCTTGAAATTATTGCAAACCTCTCTCAAATTTGTCACTCAGAACACTTGTATTCTATCCTGTCTCTGAGCTACAAAGGAACACAGTGCTTAGTTTTCTCTAGGTTCTCAATCTAAGCATTGATTTTTACAATTAATAGTTAAGTGATCTATATCCTTACTTGATGCTACAGCTTAGTCCTTGCATAAAAAGAAGTATTTGCGAACTGCAGATTTGAAGTTTCAGAACAAGAAACTAAAAATCTAAAATCTACCTTTAACTGCTTAGCAGCAACCCACAGTACCTGTGAAATTTTCTTCAGAGCCTATCTGAGAAACTTTGAAGTCTGTAATAGCCACTCCCTATACAACCTAGTGTTCAATTTGTACAAGGTTGAACTCTTTCCCATATTTACATGGAAGAAATCAAGACTATGCAATTTTACTGACTTTTGTTATGGTTTCTATTTATATTCACCCAGACAAGAAAGATGAGACCTTCCGTATCAGAGAATGTATCATTAATTAATCAAAAGGATCATAGAAGCATATGGGTACTCTTAACATTGTGACTCTAGGAAATTATCTAAAGTAGCTGGCACATTGTTTTTTGGAGGGGGTAGAGAAACATATTGTGCTCTAGGATATAAACAAATCGTCTCAATGAAGAGGGGAATACCTATGTCTGAAATCATTGGATTATAAAATGTAAGCATAGAGCTCTAGGTGAGATGTGTTTAAACTTTTCTGGAGCATTTCGGTAGTGTGTACTCTATGTTTGACAATCATTCTTCAACTCGTTTCCAAAGCTCTTTGTTCCTCAGAAAATCAAACCATGCAGGAATGTGAAAACACGTACTGCCCAACCATAGGTGCCCGCCCTCTCTCATTCCTTTTCCCAAAATCTGATGCCAATCGCCTATTGAACATGGACAGTTTGTTGTCTCAAAGGCATCTCTGCATAATTATAACTTACACATATATGCAGAGGCATCATTTGGGTGCCAAAGACATATCCCTAGAAATTATTCCCAGCCTCCTTTTTCATGTACATGTGATCACTTAATTCTGTCATGTCTCATTCCTAAACTTCTTCCCCGACTCAACTGAAATATATACTAGCTGATTCAAATTTTATTAACTTAATAGTATTTTTGTTAACTTTGAAAGTGTAGTATTATGGTGGATAAAATATTGTAATTCCTTATGCTGGAAACACATGCTAAAATAGTTATGTTGCAATAATACATTAGTTTGTTTCAGATAACCTAGCTGAAGAGCTGAACTGATGAATGTATACAAACAACATTGTCCATGGATTCTTAACATTTAGAGCTGGTCAATACATTTGTGAGGACTATTTGTATTGTCTTTCACTTTTTCACTGACTTCTGAATTATATACAGAATTTGTGATTTCAGATTCAATGTATATTATTAATCATCTCTGATATCTGTTTTCTGTTCCGTCTCCCTCTTTGCATCTATATTCTTTAAAAGGCCAGCCACATCTGGTGGCTTACATTACCTGGCTTTTTATGGTACCTACTAACTAATGTGTTTTCTACTTTCACTACTCAGCTGTTACTACATCAGGTTGCCCCTTCTTTATGGACCCTTTCCTGATTCTGTGAGCAAACATGATATATAAGATGTTTTTCTTCTCTGAACATCTATAAAATATCTGGTGTCTCTTAGAGAACTAATCATATTGCTTCTTTTCACCTACATGTGTCTGCTTTACTTTAGTTCTCCAATTATCTTAACCAGGTTTCCTTTATCATTACAAAAAATCTATTTAAAAAATTTTTAAAAACAAACCAGACTTCATTCATCATCAATTTCCCTGTGTAGATCCTTGTACTAAAAGAAGAACACATTAAATATCTGTTCACCTGACTTGTCCATGGCTATTATAATGAATAAAATAATCAAATTCATTCTTTCAAGACCAGCTAAATATATATTTTCATAAAACTATTTGTCAATATTAAATGTCTCAATTTATATATAATGATATTTCAGCTTGTGATTTTCAGAAAAAATTATGGAGTTAATTTTCAGGGGATCTATTCATTCATTTATTCAACAGAAAAGCATTGGCATTGGGTACCCACTAAACCAAGCATACCTTTGACATCATCTCTGCACTCACACTTATGCTACTGATTTATACAGACTATGTGGTATACAATTTAATGTTAATCATAGTGCTATGAAAAAATGCAGAAAAAGTAAGGTTGGGGGCTGTTGTTTAACCAAAGTGATAAACATTTTTCCTCTTAGAGGAAAAAGAACGGAAATAGTCATATAAATAAATGTATTTAAATTCTAAGTACATTTTGAAAGAGAATGCAACAGTTTAATGCAACAATTTGAATATGAGAAACTGAAGTCAATAATGACTCCAAGGTTGTCAACCAGAGTAGTTACTAATTTATATGATATTTGTCAAAATGTGAGATACCATGGGAAGAGAAGAATTAAAGGGGGTACAGTTCAGAATTTTTTTTGATCCATGTTAAGTGTGAGGGGCTCACAAGATACTCTAGTACTCAGAAAAGTATTTGGATTTGTTAGTTTGAGGTTCAGAGGAGAGGTGTGGCCTACAAATATAAAGGTTGGTATCATTGTCTTACAGAGTTATGTGATGCTGTGGGAATAAATGTGAGGGAGAATGTAGACAGTATAAAGAAGCACAAATGTGGAGCTGGAGATTCAAATATTGAGATCAGTATGAGAAAGGAGATACAGAAAACCGGACTGAAGGCACACAAGTGGAAGAAAAACCGGAAAGCTCATGTTACAGAAATAAAATACAGGCAGTTGTAAGACATAGGGAATGATCAGCTATGTCAGGTTGGGAACTATGAATTATGCGTTGAATTCAGGCACATTGGAATCATTAGATTTCAAGGATATAACTTTAAAAAGTCAACAGTTAAAAGCCACAAGATCAATCATTTCTTCTGGGCTATTTTTGTTTTTATTCTTCTTTCCATAGAAAGCTGATTTGTGTTTTACTTCTTTTAAATTTTCAACATTACAGAATATAAAAGATAATCTGCAACAAATCTCAGGTCGGATTGACCTTATTCACAGCAAGAAGATGGCAGCACTGCAAAGTGCTTCCCCTGCGGAAAGGCCCAAGCTACAGGAAGCCCTTGCACAGCTTGATTTCCAATGGGAAAAAGTCAACAAACTATACAAGGATCAGCAAGGGTAGGTAATCTTGTACTTTACTAAGCAATTGTAATTGTTTTCAGAAATTATAGAATTTGTGTTATTGCCCTCCATGGAAAAAGATAGAAGAAAGAATGGCAAGGTATTAACAACACAGGGACAAGGTAAGTGGAATGAGAACATACAATGATGAATGACTCAGGCTAATGAATTGAATAGTAGAAATTGTTCTTTACTGAAATTAATATTACATTAGAGCATTATATCACCCTCAAAAACTTCAGGTATTGTCAAAGCAAGTTTATTCATTTAATTGAGGTGGTACAAACAGCTGTAAAATATAAAAATAAACCTTTAAAATCTTTGTCATATATGTTTATAGGTATTTGATAATTCATTAATATGCTTGAAAACATAGAAATCATTTTTTTTAATTTTGGAGGTTGATAACTTTATACTTTAAAATTTTACCCCCTCTATTTTGTCCCTATGGAGAATTTATGAAGTTGATTTTAACTTATTTGTGGGGTATCTTAATTAAAATATTTAGCTTTTGATTTAAAGTTTTAGTAATTCTGTTACAATCTTTAACCTCACATTACAAGAAGGTAAAATATATTTTTCCTCTAGAAATTCAGATAAAATGTAGTAAAGTTCTGTTACAGTTTCATTCATAAAGTTCTATGATCTGAGGGTAGTCTTCATTATTCTCAGAAGAAATCAGTTGATAAATAATTATAAGGAAATTCTTACGACTCTTCACATATGTCCATGTCTAAATGTTATTTTAGTTCTTAGTTTACTGCATTAAACCCTGCAACAGATATTTCTAGCATTAATCTCTATTGTTTCCAATGATTGTTACTATCATTTTCTAATTATCTTTCATCTAGAGTTATCCAGTTTAAGAACTTTAGTAATACAATCTTGTTTACCTTACAAAAAAGTCCAGACTCACTAATTTGACATATCAGGCCTGCACAGGATCCCTGATTATCTGGTCAGCGTCATTGTTCATCACTTGCCACCTACCCTACTACAGGCAATTTTTGCTTTATCAATGTGAAATTCACTTCCATCTCTTTTGCACCTGTCCTTCAGGTCTCACCAGAGATGTTGTCTCCAGTGTGCATTCTAAAATGCTAAGAGTATTAATGGATCACAGTGCCTGGAAACTTTAATGTTGTTTTACTGTTTAATGTAATAAACTAACACTAAATCACTTCATATTTACACGTGGCAGCTATCACATTGAGTACACTCTCGGTGTGGCCTAATCCCACAATTTATCTCATAGTATTCAATTTCTTTACTTTTTGCCTCTTGTGCAAGCTCTTTAAAGCAAAGTCTAAATGTGTGGATGCATTCAGGTCCAATATAGTGCCAGACACATAGTGAATGAATGCTCTGTGTTGTATAAAAGCTCTTCCCAGACACCTGAGAATACTTTTCCTTTGGATAAAAGGGATTTTGAAAATAGCTGGCCCCAGGGGGCCTTAAGGCAGGCTTAATGAAGGAAAAAGAACTCAGCAACTGAGTCGACAAACTTAAAATCTTACACTGCCATCACATTCTAGAGTCAGTAGCCTACTCATTATGAGCACCTGCAGGCTGCTCCAATGTGCTCACTACCATCATCCACTTTGGAGTGCTCATTCCACTGTCAGAATATTGCTGTCTCTGATGTTTTCTTGCAGTCAGTGTTTTTCTCCCAGAATTCCATAATACCCAGAGCATTGCCTAAGAATCCTTGGCATTTCTCAAGTAACCAGTGTTTACTCTACTTCCTAGGCACCTATTACTTTTACACTAGAGATAATACAATCTGCCTTTTCAGGGTTCATTTTGACTTTCATAAGTAATCATTTGATACAGAATCAATTACTCACTTTTCATAGGATCATACAGAAATTTCCTTTCAGTTCATTTTCTCCCTAGCTTCAAAAAGAAAGCAGAAATATTAATCCTATTCCATAGATAGAATAGTAGAAATCTTACCCCAAATCTGAGATCTTTCTCATTTCTGATAAAGGACACAGTGTCTCTTACCCCAACTCAGAAGATGCACTTTTTCTTTACACAAAGGCCAGAAGACATGTTTTCTAAGAATTAGACGATTTTCATTTTCCACGACTTTGTGTCTCATCTCTGATTGAGCTATTTTAAGAACTGCTTATGAACAGAAACTCTAGAGTCAAACCTGGTTTGGAGTCCTGGATTTGCAACACACTAGTTATGTGTCCTTTAACAGTTACCCTAATTTTTATGCTTCACCAGCTCCTCTTTGATAGGATAAATATAGTACCCAAGTCATTGGGTTAATTGTAAGGATTATTTGACATAATGCAGGTAGTGTGTTTAGTGGATTGCTTATATTTGAAAATGGCTCAGTTAAGGGTGGATATTTTGATGTTAAAAATGGTGGCCATATGGGTTTTCTAGTCTTCACAACTGCTAATTAATTCTTACACTCTCAAATTTTCCTGATCACCATAGATAGATGAATTAGATGAATTCTCTGCTTTAAACAAATTTCTACCTGGCCAACCAGTCTGTGAAATAAAGGGCTGATTGATATGAACTATGATAATAGGTGAGAACAAGATTCCTGGAGGACGGAATAAAAACATCTTACTCAGAATTAAGAATTAATTAAAACCTGTGACCTTTTCAAGATTCTGATCTACAATGAACAGAAAGCAACTGGGATTGCCTTAGATAAAATTATGTAATTTTCTAGGATAAGTTTCTTATAGTATCAATGGGAAATGGAAGCCACATTTCAAGCAAAACTAGCCATCTAAAATCACATACAGTTTTGAGGCAAAAGGTACATCAAAATTATAAACTGAGAGCATGGCCATGGCCCACAACTACACCAGAGGAACCGTTACCACTGAACATGGTTTACAGCTATCACTGCCAGGAAATATTTGCTTCACAACTTCTTTCATACATCGCTCACTCTAGAATTAAGGTCTCTGTCCGAACCATCTGATAAGCAGAGGTTGAATTTTTGTTGTCTAAAGAATCAGTTACCTCTATTTTAGTCTTCACAGGCTGTGTAGTTTCCACTGCAGCTATTCAATTGTGTTACTATAGGGTGAAAGAACCCATAAATGATACATAAATGTAGATGTATGACTTATTCTAGGAAATCTTTATTTACCAAGATGAATGGCAGATCAGGTTTTAATGGGCTATAAATTGATGACTCCTATTGTGAGGCAAGCTAGGTCACAAAACAAGAAGTTAATTGCCAGGGTGCAGGGAAAATAAATAGCTGACATTTGGTCTCTTTCAATGAGAGCCAGGGTCATGTACCCAAACAAGACCTATATGATGGTGGGGTCTTACGTTTTTGGAGATTATAATCTGTTTGTTTATAATAGACAAACTACAGCCTTCATGTTGGGTCCTCAACAAAAATCTGTTGAAAACATTAATAAACTACTTCCACCAGCATTCCTGTTGCTAGGACAAACTACCAGACACCGATGATTTAAAGATGAAAAGGTTTAATTGTGGATCATGGTTTCAGCTATTGTCAGCTGGCTCTAAGGCAGAAACAAGTGTCTGAAGGGCACAGTGGAACAAGTTGCTCACTTATTGGTGTGTGGGAAGCAGAGCATAGGAAAAGAGCACCGTAGAGGAAGGGGCTAGTGACCAAACACTTTCCCCAAAGTCACATCCTCAGGACCTAAAATGTGCCTATACCTAGAAATGTACTTTACTAATCTAGGTGCCTTTCAAGCCAGGCAGGTTGGCAGTCAAGATTAACCCTCCAATAGGCCAACTGTAGTGTGAATCAAAATACGTTTGCTCCAGTAATGAGTTTTATGTCAGTATGTTTTCATGTGTGATCCATATATGTTTTAAATTTATAATCAGCTATTATCATGACAATGTTGTTATACAAATCATTCCAAACTTTATGATTTGAAACAATGTGAGCTTCTTGCTTTGTGGTTTGCCTTGGGTGGGTTTGGCTAGGTAGATCTGCTCAAGATGTGGGTCAGCTAATCTAGGCTCCACAATGCATGTTTAAGAATTTCTGTGTACAGGGGGCTGGGGATTTAGCTCAGAGGCATAAGTGCCTGCCTTGCAAGCAGGCAGTCTTGGGTTTGATCCCTGGTACCGATAAAAAGGAAAAAGACAAAAAAAAAAAAAAAAAAAAAAAAAAAAAGAATGTCTGTGTATATCTTTACTGTAAGGTAAAGATAAATGGTCAGTGGCATGCTGTACTCATGATAGATCACGAGAGCATGGACCGAGCTTAATGCTCTAAGAACGCATATGCCTTGTGGTGCTGTCAATCCACTGACATTCTGTTGACCAGTACATGTCACCTGAAGGGGAAAGTAGTCTCTTCCTACAGCGGATGCAGGAGAGGCATAAATATTTGCGGAATAATAATCCAAACTATTAAAGATAGTTCATAATTAATAAAAATATCTATAAAATTCTAATTTTGTTCTGAGCTTTTTATCGAGAATAAAACTAACTCTGGAAGATGTTAAGTGACTTTTCCAAGCACATACGAAATAGCACATCTACATTTTACCTTCACCAAAATATTTAGTTTTAAAAAGATTACTTATTTTCCTTACAATAAATTGCAAATAATAGAAAATGCATATTCTCAGCATTTCTAAGTCATAAGTGCTGAGACCACCATTAATCACCAAATTCTTGAATGTTGTAATTGCAAGGCACACCTTTATTAAATGTTATAAAGTAAAGAAGACATTGCTCTTTACTGAGGACAAGTAGAAAATTAAAAGTCAAACTGATTTGTAACTGCTCACTCATTATCTGTGGAGCCTGCTTTCACACAGTGTCTTCGAGCAAATAGAATTTCAACATATAGATACAGCAAAGTTATTAAATATCATCAAAATATTAAATACAAACCCTTTCCATAAATGTTCTAGCTGCTTGCAAATACTCAGCAGTCAAAACTAAGTCCACAAATGCAATGAGCTTTTGGATATATATATATAACTATATCTATATATCTATATCTATATACCAGTATA